TTCCTGATCAAATATGGATCGGTTCCTAGACTTTCTACATCCTGGAGTTTCCTGAACCCTGTTCATTCCTGGCTGGTACTTGTTGCCGACTTGGATCAGGTGTCCTATCCCCATTGTTCCACTCCCCTTGATCTGCACTGGAAAGGTGGCAACCTTGGGAATCTGCAGCATCTTGCACAGATTTCACCTACTTCTACAGACCCAGTTCCCACAAGAATGGGTCTGGTGAACGCAAGGTCCACCCTGAACAAAAAGTAATTTTTAGGTCAGAGTTTGGACTTTTTCTGCATGACTGAAACATGAATCTCTCTGGGGGAGTGTTTTAACACACATATTTTAACCCCCCGAAGGGTGGCTGTGGCTACAATGTAGCTTGCCATCACCAGGGTGCAAAAGCCTTAAAGATGGTCCATCAGGGCCATAAATAAATAAAGAATATTCAATTCAAATCTACCTGATGTCGCACTCTAGTCCCGACGAACTATCCTATGATTAATTGTTTTAATAATTCTTTGATGACACAAACACACTTAACCAAAAATCATATAAATCATTCACGGATATTGTAAATATGTCATAACTCATCCTTCTAAAATCTCCATAAATTTCATTGTTGATTTTTCAAACTCCAAGATTTGAAACATTAAAGTCTGCAATCTTCTTTTTGATTTTAACAACAAAATATTCAGTCTCACATCACTGACCTCCCAATTGTACAAATTCTGTGGATGCTAACAATGAGGAGCGCAGTTAGACACATTGGTCTTACTCAGAAATACATCCTGGCTTATGAGACAGTTCAATAGGTACTCTGACCCAGTGCTGCATAAAATGGCGAATACGGAGCGACGGAAATGCCAAAAAATACTTGAGGAGAATGAAGCTCCACATCATTAATTCCACCATCACTCATGGGTTTTTTTTTCAGCTGCAGTGCCAGTGATGCTCTAAGAGTAAAGGATAAATATAAAAACTCAAGTCTACGTGTAAACCTGATGTAAATATGCGCTTTGTTTTAATATTGTATATTACGCTAATGTTTAAAAAGCAATAAAACTGCTGTAACATTTTCCCAGCTAACAGAAAAAAATCAAATCAAATAAAGTTTAGTGTAATCATTTCTTGCTAATAATCGGGAAAACGCAGAAATATTAGACTCTACTGGAAAACCGACGGACGCTCATGTTTGCACAAAAACCTCTGACAGATCTTCCAGGAATAGCGACACTGTTTTTCGGAGAACTGACAGGAGAGTGGGTGGTGATTTCATTCCTGCTGATCTCTAAGCGCCATACTCACCCAGATAAGAAGTGAATCATCTTCGTAGAAAACAAAACCTCGAAATTACCAGAATGAAACAAAATCCTACTTTCTAGTAAAGGCCTCAGATGCAGGTGTGCCACAAGTAAATCACAGTGCAGCACTAATGGATTAACACTGTATCTGAGTGAAGAAGTTATAACATGCATGCATTAGTTGTAGGGCTGAACATCCTCAAATCATATCCTCCAGAGACCCCACCTGTTCATTATGTCCTCTGCAGTGGGCACGCAAATCACATAAAGTTACTCTGACAGATACTATTTACCTCAGTTCTCAGGAGGATACAAAAGTGTGTGCAGAACAATAACATTTAGCGAACCATTTAATTTATTGTTTTCGTGTTAGTGGAGAAGTGTGACTACCGACCGCACAGCAGACTATGTGTCGTGTTAAAAACCATTTCTCTGGTCCCCTCCCCAATCAGACCAGGAGTGACATGTTTAGCCG